TTCAATGGTAAGTGCTTATACGAATGTATATATAAACGTGTTTGTAAAAGGGGGCGTGGCACATCCCATAAGTGCGGAATTTTTTATCAGCTATAACTTCGGAACCATAAGTCTCACGAACTTGAAAATTGGTAACTTCGGTTCCATAAGTCTCACGTACTTGAAATTTGGTATGCAGACAAATCAATGGTAGGTGGTTATAGGAGGGAATGTATAAACGAGGTTGTAAAAGTGGGTGAGGCGCATCCCATAGGCGTGGAATTTTGTATCAGCTATAACTTCGGAACCATAAGTCACACGAACTTGAAATTTGGTATGCAGACATTTCAATGGTAAGTGCTTATACGAATGTATATATAAACTGTGTTTGTAAAAGGGGGCGTGGCACATCCCATAAGTGCGGAATTTTTTATCAGCTATAACTTCGGAACCATAAGTCTCACGAACTTGAAATGTGGTATGCAGACATATCAATGGTACGTGCTTATAGGAGGGTATTTATAAAGGAGTTTGTAAATGGGGGCGTGGCACATCCCATAGGCGTGGAATTTTTTATCAGCTATAACTTCGAAACCATAAGTCTCACGAACTTGAAATTTGGTATGCAGACATATAAATGGTAGGTGCTTATAGGAGGGAATGTATAAACAAGTTTGTTAAAGGGGGTGTGGCACATCCCATAGGCGTGGCATTTCTTATCAGCTATAACTTCGGAACTATAGGTCACACCAACTTGAAATTTGGTATACAGACATATCAATAGTAGGAGCTTATAGAAGAGTACGCATAACCGAGTTTGTAAAAGGGGGCGTGGCACATCCCATAAGTGCAGAATTTTTTATCAGCTATAACTTCGGAACCATAAGTCACACCAACTTGAAATTTGGTATACAGACATATCAATAGTAGGAGCTTATAGAAGAGTACGCATAACCGAGTTTGTAAAAGGGGGCGTGGCCCATCCCATCGGCGTGGTATTTTTTTATCAGCTATAATTTTTGGACCCACAAATCACACGAACTTGAAATTTGGTATGCGGACATATCAATGGTCGGTGCTTATAGGAGGGTACACGGAGAAAAACACGCGTTGTAAAAATGAGCTTTTTTTATTTGATTACCGTTTAAAAATGTTCGTATTAAATCAAGTGAAAAGTGTTAACAAAATGGATTTTACCATTATACATACACTACTTATAATGGAAACATTCAATTCAAATACGGATAATTGGAGATTATTCAATATTATCAAATTCACCCTCTACCAACTTAATTTTCACATATTTCGTCTGTTTTCCCTTAATTTGATAAAATACTTCTTCCTAGTTACGACTTAGTTGCAGCTGCAGCCGAAACTAAATTTTAAGTTGGTACTTAGCCAGAAAAGTCGAAACTAAGGCGACTATGAATAGCTTTAGTTGTGACTTAGAATAGTTTCGACTTAGTTGAGTACTTAATATGACTATAAATATGCGCCAATGTTGTTTGCTCACATTTAGTATAAACATACATATGTACATACATACATGTAGCAGCAGTTTATTTCATTTAAAGAAATGGCGTGTCGTCCATTTCCGCACGTATATAAATAGTGCATATATTTAGGCGCAATATTTAACTTCTTCTGGCGGTGCGAAATCTAGAGTCTTCTAATTGTATCTCCTTGATATGATGCCTACAACGAGATTGATATCTAGAATTTTCCATAAATAGCTTTGCTACATTTATAGTAGGTGCATTCTTTTGCAACCGAGCTACAAAAGAACACT